CCTGCAGTAACTCTTTCTGCAATACAGCCTCTTTAAAAAAAAGTCAGACAACCTGGTGAAAGGTATCGCGAGTGGATTTATATAGGATTTTTAGATGGTTAGAAGAAAAAACTTTTTATCTGCTTTTGAGATGAGCGGCTGGCATTAGGTCACTGACTTAATGTGCACAGTTTGCAGTTTTTATGTGCGAAAGTGAAATGGTTGATTTGTGAAAAGTAGGAGAAAAGTGTCTTTTTCCATACATAATACCCGTTTTCCAGTCATTGTTACAAAAATAAAATTTCTTTTTCTCTACTAATGTGAACTGATGCAGACGAAAAAGCATGCCATCAGATGTAATTTTCGATGCTCTGTTCAACCACATGCAAATTATTCCATTTGCTCAATGAATCAAAACTGAGGTAAAAACCAGTGAGGGCCTGAAATACAGTGGTTGTCGTAAAACGCATGTAAAATCATAAAAAACCATCGCAACGAGCTCGCCGACCTCTCATCTTATAGAAAAATGTTTGCTCTTCATATGTAATGACTCAAAAACGTTTTATATGTCCAGATCTTTGAGATTTGTATCAAAATTTAGAAAAGTAAGAAAATGATAATACCTATACCTATTTTCAATATTTGATTTATTAAGTATATCATCCTAGTGTTTTAAAATGTTCTGTTATATATGAATCAATGCAGAACTGCCTGCTTTAGAAAATGAAGTAGCATTTATTTTGGGACCACTATATGCATGGTCTATATTTAAAAAGTACTGGGAAAAATGCAATTTTGAAAATATGGAATTTTTTTAGTTTTCTTTTATTTAGTCCTAGATAGTTGAACACATTATTATGTCTAGGGGTGTTAATTTAGTGTTACTTTGGAAAATAAATGAAAATGAATGATTTGTATTTAAAAAATAAATATAAATAAATGAAAAAAAAATTTATCTTTATTTTATAAAAGTAAATGATTCATTTACATTTATCCATTATAAATGAACAATAAAACTAAATTAACATCCCTAATTATGTCTAAATACACGATCTTCTAGAGTAAGCATTCCTCTTTCAAATGAGCCGTGAACGAATTATAGGAGTTTGACAGTTTTTCAGAAAATACGAAAATGTGTGAAAATTCATGTTTTCTGGTAACAAGAGTGACCCTCAACACAGTGCTTGGCCTCTAGTTTTTTAAAAATGCACTTTTAGAAAGAGTTATTGCAGGGTTAGTGGTTATTTTCTATACTCTTTCGAATGAGATATAAATACAAATAAAATAAAATTTGCCTCCGGGCAGTGTGGTCGTACTAGGTCGGTTTTAAACATGATTTTTATTTGTATAAAGTCATGTTTGATCATCAATAGGTCAAAGAATGTTACCCGAAGAACGAGTTAGAAGCATCAGGATGTCGGCTTGTCCAGACGTAACGCTGTTACGCTTTTGACATACTTTTTCTCAATATTATCTCGAAAAGTTTGAGAGCTAGAAAGTTCGTTCAAACGCCATTCGACGCAGCTCATCATACTCTGTGTATGCTATAAAAACGAAGTTTTTTGGTTGAAGTCCGGAGCTTCGAGAAAGGTTTTTTCATCTCGCAACGCTGTTACATAAAAAGCCCCTAAATTTGGAGTGCTCTTGCTAAAGTTCTAATTTCCTGCGAAAGTCGATCTCCAAATGAAATGCCTCTAGAACAAATTCTGTAGAGCATCGAACGAGCTTTTCAGCGGTAAAAAGAATTTTCTTCTAAATATTTTTACTCGCCTAAAAAAAGCAAAAAACAAACGTTACGCTGTTACACATTTTTTTGTCAAACCATTTTAGAGCACTCAGCGTTCTTCAAACAACTTCATACTTATACCTTGAGTACTTCTAGCCTTCCTGAAGATACTCCACTTGTAAAAAAGGCTCCAAAATGCGCCTCAGGCTCTTAAATCGAGTCGGTGATTCAAACTTGCAAGCAGCCCTTGTGCCTCAACTGAGAAATATTTCTCAAAACAAAGCCAGCCATTTGGTAGAAGACTGAATTCTCTATTCGACAGTATGTTTTTAAAATTATTTTACAAAAGTCTCCAGGTTAGAAAATTAAAATTAAAGTTTTCAAAAATTTTAAATTAAACTTTTTTAATTAAATATTCAGTTTTTTTCAAAATAAAGGCCGAATTTGTGATCAGCCTGAAAAACTACGGTTGCTGATGGACTCCTATCGATTTCCCGATGAAAAAACAAAAAAAAACTTCAGCAAAGTGTCGTGTTACGTGGACAAGCCGCTGCTTGTAATTAGACTATTTTTGCGATGATATAATTATATTTAGTGGACAAAACTAAGCATATCCTGATGCTTCCGACTCGTTCCTCGGTTTTCTGAGTGAATGGTGAATTTTTTAATATTATGTGAAAAGAGAGTGGAAATCCTAATTTTCGTAACACTTTTTCGTAACACAGCAGAGTCCATTCGTTTTTTGGACAGACAGTAATACAATTATTTACAACTTATTTTCTGCGCCCGATTAAACTTCTCGTGTCAGAACAGGACAATTACGGACCGTTTTGGACGGGTACAACAACCCCCAGTACTGTTTTACGTAGTGACGGGGCCAGTACGGGGCGCCTTTTTGTGCACAAGAACGGGTTCAAGTATTGGGCAGTTTTTCTTTTTATCTTAGAACGGATCATAGTACGGGCCGCTCTGTAGATACTAGTTTCATATAATAATTAGTTTTTTTGTCGGTAGTTTTAAGTAGGTTCTCAAGAAAACCTTTAAAAAGCCTGTATATTAACATTCACCATTTTCCTCTAAGCTCTGACGAAGTATGACAATACAGTATTCATTATCAAGAAAACATAGTACAACTTAGTGAAAATAAACTGGTGAAATTAAAACCTAAACCTGAGAAGGAATACGGCAAAATATGGATAAAGAAAAGTTTGCCTAAGTCTAAAACTGAATATAAGAAGAAAGAATCTTCTCTTCCCTTCTTGTTTTAGATATGATAAGTTGCATAATTTGAAGGTGGAGCAGTAGAAATAAATTTAGAAATTATTGAGTATAACACGGCTACAAAAATCATAATAGATTTTTAACAAAAATCAATTTATGGTTTATTCAAGCTTTCGATAAGAGACACTTATCATCATCAGGAAAAACAGAAAAGTGAAATACAATCTCTCTACATATAGTCAGAGTGCTAATTAATAGAGTACAGATAGAGAAGGAACAAGAAAAAGTCAATAATGTGATCACTAATTGATAATACATCAAAAGAAGAAGAAAAAGACATAGATAGACAAGAGCTACTAATCTGACTCATAATTGATAAGTTTGTAATAGTTTTATGCAAAGATGTTTAATTTAAATTTTACGTCATTTAAGGCTTTTCCTTTCATTTGGTGTGTAAATAGACTCTCTTTGATAATTGTTTTTCGCCAGTTTGTTTCAAGAGCTAGAGTCTCACATTGTGTAAAATCAAATGTATGCTTTTCTTTATTAGTATGCTTAGCTACATTCGAGGACTCGGTTTGTTTTCTGATTTTACACAACACCTTTCTACTGCTCCACCTTCAAATTATGCAACATATCATATCTAAAACAAGAAGGGAAGAGAAGATTCTTTCTTCTTATATTCAGTTTTAGACTTAGGCAAACTTTTCTTTATCCATATTTTGCCGTATTCCTTCTCAGGTTTAGGTTTTAATTTCACCAGTTTATTTTCACTAAGTTGTACTATGTTTTCTTGATAATGAATACTGTATTGTCATACTTCGTCAGAGCTTAGAGGAAAATGGTGAATGTTAATATACAGGCTTTTTAAAGGTTTTCTTGAGAACCTACTTAAAACTACCGACAAAAAAACTAATTATCATGAAACTAGTATCTATTCTGATAAAGACATGATAGTCTTTCTAACCGTATGCACATCGCAAATGTCAAGTTTCAATGGAAGTTTTCGATTTTACGACAAAGAGTGCCTTAGGCGCATATTTTGAGGCAGTAAATTCTGTGTTTCAGTAGCTAAACCTTTGGCTCTCAACAACTGAATTCTACTTCATAGCCGTTTCTTAGCAGAAGTAAGCGAGTTTCGAGGGCTGGTGGGTCGAACGTACCTCGGCGGCGATAGCGGCAGTTCTTGTATCACGCTGTTGCCTTTGTAAAAGTTGGAAATGACGTTGAGCATCCGCTGTACTAAAAACACCTAGCTTCCCAAAGCGAAAACTCACTTTTAGTTCCGGTTTTAAAATATGTCCTAGACGGACAAAAGGGTAGAAAACCTCATTTTTTTTAGTGAAGAAGAGAAAAATGCTAAGAATTCCGAAACCGGCAAAAAACGGGTCAATCACCGAGAGATTTGAAGATCTTTCTAGATCGGCAAAGGATCGCTGCAGACTCGTGTTTGCAACTCTGCTAAATAGTGTAACCGATTAATACACAGTGGGCAATTTTCACTAGGCACGTGGTCTTTTGGCATGCAAGCTAGAAGAAAACTTAAAAGCCCGTTTTTTAAAGGTTACCGACGATTCTCTATCTAGCGGAATGCTTTTTAAATTCTAAAAGAGTTTTCTAGGTGGTTTTCCAGAGATCCGATCTCTAAAAAACCACTTAGAAAATCTTCAAAAAAACTTAAAAACAATTGCATTGAATAGAGAATCATCGATAACCTATAGAAATAGTGTAGACGACTTCATCTGGTGATAAGTTCAAATTTTAAAATTTCAGTCAAAATCCCTATACGCACATGCATGAATTTATTAATTTATTTGCAATATGTGAGTTTAGTTGGGGTCGGATATTTTAGACTGACATGACGTTATTTCGTTAAAATAAGCGTCCCCATTTTGTCCCCCGTTCAGAACTTTCTGTCTCACATTTTAAAAAAATAATTATAGACCCCTGTGCTAAAGGTTCATCAACAACTGAAAAAACTGATAATTACCTCAGAATCGTACTTCCTGCAAGAAGTGACTATCTTATATTCGAACCATGCTGAACAATTCCATTGCTTGCAAAAAATTAGGTAATGGAACAACCGCTGCGAGGACGTGAAATACCGCAGGTTCTCTCCCGTTTCATCGTTAATGGGTAATAAACCATACACGTTGAGAAGGAAATAATTTAGAGGATAAACTCCTTTACATCTCTGTCTTCATCATGTAAAATACAGGCTAATAGATCTTTTGTTTCGAGCACAATTTGTGATATTTAATGAAGAATATGGTCACTTTCTTTCACTACGTACTAAAAGAAAAAAAAGTAAGTTATTTTGGCTAATTGGTTTACTTAAGTGACCACGATTATATTTTCTGGAACATTTTCGAAATCGATTCGAAAACCTTTTTAGAGGGTTTTTGAGAAAAAATTGAACGAAACAGGGGCCCCAGAAGCAAAAAAGGGTCTGTTGGTGGTCGATAACTCTTTTCTCGGAAATGGATTATCGTTTCATATAGTTTTATTCCCGGAAACTCGTTAGAGGTTTCCGAGAATATGTTTCTTTTATAGAGTGTGGAGAAGAACCGTGAAACTTTTGAATTTTTCATTTATCTTGCAAACGCTTGCTATGACCTCAGTCCTGAGAGATCCTTACGAAAGTGGGCTGTATTTTGGTTTTTTTAGACATTTCTAGTAAGTGATATAGTTACGACATTAAGTCCTAGTGTGTTCATCAAATGGAAGAATGGCATCCCAGATTTGATCGTTAAATGGCAGCATATTAGTGATCGCCTGGTCGATAGATATGTCATAAATCTTGATAATGTGGATATTAAACATGTATGTAAAGTATCCTATACACTACATACCTTGAAAGTTGGACACTATTCTACTTTGTATTATTTTTGTAGATTCCTAGAAAAAAATTTGGTAAATTATTTCGAATTACATTATGTGAACCAGAAAAAGAAAAACCGTATATAATAGAAGTTGTGGCACAATCAGCCGGTAACAGGATCAAGTGTGATATCTGTGACTAAAATTGCTTTCTTATGTCTATGAATTTTTATTTAGACAACAACGAAATTTTTCGATCAGACACAATAAAAGTTATTGTACCAGATAAACCGCCGTCACAATCAATTCACCAAGGTCAGCAAATTAGTGGTAAATCTGAAATAACTGAATGTATCAATATTATGGAAGAAGAGTCACCATTCTATGCACTCCAAGATGGTACGTTACTAAGTGTCACAGGATAAAATTGTAATTTTTGTGGGGCTCCTCTCTCTGTATAATACCGTAGTGTTAGAGGCGTCTCAGTTTATAGATGTGCAAAAATGTCATAAGTCAGCGTTGCTTGCATCATCTGCAAAGATAACATAAAAATGTCTTAAAAAGGTGATATAAACCAAAGTTCCGCGGAAGACTTTCATATTTAGACTTTTAGATGTACGCTGGTAAGCTATTTTATCTTTAGACGAGATTATGGCAGGCGATATTCCTAAACAACAGCGACAAAAGAAAAATCCAAAACAAACAGAAGTATATTATCTAACAAACATTACAAAATATCGCGCACTTATATTATATCAACAATTACTGACAGCTAGATCGAACAAAAAGACTTCAACAGATGAAATGCGTATTCGTAATTGTGAACTTTCACCGCATCAGAACTACCCAGGTATAGACCATTACCTGAGGCCATCCGTCAAAAAATTATCACTGAATAATAATTGACATGTTTACACACTTTCACAACGCGAACAAAAATGATAATAGTTCTGACCGATACATTTCTTTGTACTATTTTGTGAAGAAAGCAGTAAAAATAAACAAAAATGAATAAATCGTAATTAATTAGTATGTATTCATAAACACGCGTATATGGCTCATTACTCGTTGAATACATAGCTTAATTTCCCTTCAAATCCTTCTTAGAACTATAGGCATTAGTAGGTGAAAGTAAAAGCCTGTTTTGTTTATACTTTTGAAATTTACACGAATGAGAAGAAAATCACGTGAGTTTTTTGATCGCTAAATTGGTAAAAATTGATAAAAATCGGCCGATTGACAACTTTAATCGACTCCGATCGGATAGACCGTTTTGTAAGAAAACAATAGCATCAACATAAATCAGTACGGAATATACGATGTAGCATTGATTTTTACCGATGTGGTATTATTTTCGAGAATAAAACTGTGACATGCGTGCACATCGATATTTGACGATGCACATGAAATGCAATGTGCATTCCCAGTACCACAACTTTTTTTCAGATGCAGTATCAAAATTTTTTTTCTACGATGAATACTGAAAAGCTTCAGCCGGTCCATATTAATTTTTGTTATTTTTATTCGATGAAAAAATAATAAAAATTAATCACAAACATGAATAAACATCAAGTTACCGAGTAGTCAGCGAAATTCCAAATAAACATAAGAACATCGACGAATCACGTAATAAACGTAAGGTGCACCACAGTATAGAGACTTCTACTTCGCAGTAAAGTCCATGTACAGTAAGGAAATATTCTCTTCCCTGCGACAAAGAATTAAAGCTGCAAACTTTCATCGAATATTCACGAATAAATGATTTAGGAATTAGCGGATCGAAAGGATGGAACAGGTGCACAGTGGGCAATCATGTGGCAGAAAAACTGAAAGTGAGCTTTTTCGAGATTTAAATAGTGTCAAATATACTTTGATTAACAGCCGATTTAATGGCTGAAAAAGTTTTGTTCCAACTTTTAAGTTCGTCGAAAAAACTTGTGTGCAAAAGTAAGTTAAATTTCAGCAACTTTGGGGAAAATGGCTTCTGTTGTAGTATGAAGAAAGAGATGATGAATGAATCGTAATTATTCTGAAACTAGAGCTAGTGCTCTATCGATTCGTAAAAACAATTTTCGTGTTATTGCGATCTGGTCGGAAAAACAATCTTTCCTTCTACGCTAAGGGTTTTCCGAGGAGCTGTATCCGATAAGCTTAGTGCCTCAGTCATATCCACCTTTCAAATGTGTTCAAACCTGAGCAAAATATTCTTCTACTCATCATACATCTACACAGTTAGCATAAAGATGCGTAAACGTTCGTGGACTGAGTTGGAGTTCCGAAATCTCACCAAATAAGACTTTCGCCAATAGGACATTCACCAATGGCGATTAAATCCACTGTATGGATTTAGTTAAACGATTACCATTAATGGCTGAATATATTCGTTTAAGACTTGTAACTCTCTGTCGAAATAATGATAATGGCGATCTATTTGAAGATAATGCTATGGCTCTAAAATCAATACATGAATTAATTAAAGATAAATTACCAAAAGCTATTGAAGAATTTGAATTACTTTATACTAAAAATGAAAAGCGACGACAACAAAACGAAGAATTTAATAATAATTTAGCAGCTGTACAATCTAACGTGTTTCCAGATATACCAGAATTAAGTAATTATGAAATGAAACAAGACAGTTCAGCTATAAATAGCGATTCTAACACAAGCAAATCAAAAATGAAAAATTATTATACTGAAGATATTGATACAGGATATGACGATACGTATTTATCATCTAATTACACTTATAACGCTAATGATATGCCATCATACGCAACAGAAGAGCTTGACAATGGATTTTATCCAGAACAATCGACAACAATGGCAGGCGAACAGCAGTTTTTTGTTCTTGATGATGATTTTGGTGATGAAACGATGACACAACAGAATACTGCAGTAGATACTGTAATAAAAGATAATACCATGATAGAACTCGATGATGGATATGACGTTGTCAATTATTTAAACTCTACAAATGATAGTACCACTCTTCCTGCTCCTATCACAACACGCGATGATGAAATTAACGATGGTTTCACATATGATCCAACATCTATGTTTGCTGAAGATATTCCATCGTTTACAACTTCCCAACCAATACAAGAAGAAAATCTTATTGATAATACTGAATTTCCCGAAAGTCTTCATGATTATATGGCTCAATTATCTGATACAATTAAACGTTTATTTCGTTTGAAAAATTAAAGAATGGAAAATTGGCAATGATATACAATTATTATTTCATTGGATTGATTTCATATGTAATCAACACCATTCAATACCATTAGAAAAACGTGTAATTTTAGGTCCTAAATTTTATTATTTTGATCAATTACCTGTAAGTAGACAAAGTGATATATATACACAATGGTATGAAAATTTAAAACCATCTATCTCAATAATTAATCCACAACAATATTCTGAAATTTTTGAAAAACCAAAAGAACATCATGTATTACCATTTCCATTTGATGTTGAATATGATTATGTTAGTGTGAAATATACTGGTGTACGATATCAAATGTCAAAAGATGATAAATGTATGAGTGAATATGCAGCAAAGATTTATCACACAACGACACAATGATAAATGTACATTAGAACAATTGAAAAAAATTTTTTATTATGTACCTACACCAACATTATTAAATCAAATAGTTCGAATATTTGCAGCAACATCATCCAAAACTCCATTATTACTTGAAGGACGACCAGGAGTAGGTAAAACACAAGTTGTTACACAAGTATGTCAATTACTTAATAAACAATGTGAACGTATTAATTTATCGGCAAATACATCATTAGATCAACTTATTGGATGTATTATTTCAAGATGTAATGAAAATGGACGACGAATATTTGAATGGCAAGATGGAAAAATATTAAGTGCATTGAGACTAAAAAAATGGATTCTTTTAGATGAATTAAATTTAGCAGCATCAGAAGTATTAGAAGGTTTAATACCACTACTCTATCGTGATACTCATACCTATACAGTACCTAGCACTGGTGAAACAATCGAAACTACTAATATTTTAATTTTTGCCACTATGAATCCAACAACAATCGGTGGTGGACGTAGTAAATTGCCACGATCGATCAGTAATTTATTTACCATCGTACAATTAGAGGATTATAACAACGATGAATTAAGTGCAATATTAAGATCTCTATTTAATGATGATCTTGAAGAAGAAAATATTGCAGAAGATCATCTTAAAACTCTATTTAACCTTCATACAACATTAAAACAAAAAATCAATAAAGGTCAGTTAGGACGTACAGGTGGTCCATATGAAATGAATCTTCGAGATTTATCGAAATTTCGTGATATATTTCGTGGATGTATCAAAGATCAAATATTTCATTATCGATTTTTTAATACAGATGAAACTAGTGAAGAAT